TCGGAAACAGTGAGTCTGATATGTACTTATTTACCCTAATGTACGAACTCTTTTAATCAATAAAAAGTATCACTTGGAAGTTTCGCATGTTCAGAAGTTCTAAACCCTAGCCGGGTAAGTGATGGATCGACTCGATAAAACATTATTACATACCCTTCGAGGGGTGTGACACTTATAACAAGGCATAATGGATTTTTCGAAAACCCGCAGTACAAAGTTAAACATTGCTAAAAGTCGCAAACAAAGTCTATTACAAAAGTCTCTTAACGGTTTATAAACTTTTGGGACATCCCATCCACTTAACATAGTCCAAAAACTACTCGAAAGCAAGAATCCGCAATGGACCGAAACCACTTTCGGTCCGGAATCAATTTCGCCCCGGATTCATCTTCATTTCTGTATTCACTTTCGGGCCGAAACCTCTTTCGATCCAGACAATCGAAGTTCAAAGACTACATTCGGTTCAGGTACGTTCGGTCATGAACCAGCTTTCGGTCCGAGGCCACGTTTGGTTTCCCCCACTCCGGCTCGGCCCGAAACTACCCCAACTCCAGTCACTTACGGATCATCGCCACTCATAACTCACGCCTCTATCGATCCGCAACCTAATAAACCAAGACCCGGAAGGACCCTCTTGCTCTGGAACCACATGAGTCCGGAACATGGCTCTCTAGAATGAGCCGGACAACTCTACACGCTCCAGAACGCCCTCTCATCCGGAATGCCCTTCTCCTCCGGAACCGACCGCCCTGAAAGGATCCGCACCAGACGATCTTTGTGATCCCGGAAGACCACTCCGTATGGGGATGACTCTCACGCCTTTACTCCGGAACCTTAGATGACTCCGGACGGACTTCTTGACCCCGGACGGAATCCTCGACTCCAAATGGATTATCCCGACACCACTCATTGCGTTCCTTTCCAACTCTGGGATATAGAACCCGTCCTTATTGTATTTAAGACTCACCATTAAATCATATTATGGGGGAAATCTTTATTATAGACTATAGCTATTATGCTAGATAATCTATAAGGGTTGGTTGACTTTTCCAAAAAGTTATGACATAACCCATTCCCCATAACCACTCTATGACAACTTTATGGCATTTTTGCCTTAAGTACCTAGTCAAATCAAATCTTTTCTCCAACACTCCACCAGATTTCCTATTCTAAATCCACTCATTAGATTTTAGTCTCCATCTATAAAACCCAATCGTTCCTTTCAAGACAAGCTTTACCTTTTTCCTTCTCTATTCTATACTCTCGAAAGTTCCCAGGAAGCACCAGCCCTTTTACTATATCTCTTGGTAAGTTCTTCATCTTCACTCGTGTATAATTCTACATTCTCTAATTCCAATCACGAAAAACTCATTCAAGCATCGTCATAATTGCTCTTAGGACTCCAAATCCTTAAGCTTCTCCAAGTAATCTCGACTTGGAAATCACCTCTCTTCACCAACCATCTCCGAAAATTACTCAAGGTGAGTTCATACCCCTACATTTTCACATTTTATCAAGTTTTATGGGGGAGATACAAGTTACAACACTAAAATACTCTTAAACTTAACCAACGTCTTTCAACAGAAAAGTTGAGTCTCATTCACAAACTGTTTTGAACATATTAAATTTTTTATTTTCAAAACTGTACAAGGTGCAAATATTTCAGGTTCATAGCTATAAAATGACTACTTGCACATCTTCATACGATTTTTCTACAATTTATGGTGATTTTTACAAAACAACCTGTCATTTCAGAAACATGTTCGGACCAGTCTGTGAATATGAGCACTTCCATACGAGTTAGAGGTTTCTAAAAATCATAGTAAAAATTATGAACAAACTAGACACAATTTCTAAACTCTCAGAGTTTACGTATTCAGTTTTCGACTCCGTATGATTTTTCTGTGATTTTTCTAAAATAGTGCAGAAAAGTTAAAACTAGTTAAACAACTTACAATATTATAACCCTTTGTAACATGTTGAGCAAAGTGTATAAAAATAAGTTTCTAAATGTTGAATGTATTACTTGTTACTTGAACATCATAAACAGAAATTAGTCATTCATGATAAGGGTTTTGCATTCACTTCAAACATGTTCAATAGACTATAATAGGTATAGTCGGGGATTTTACATTACAAACATACTATATAAAGGGGATTTAATCACACCACAGAGAAAGGTTTTGCATTATACAAACACGTAAACTTGTTAACGTAAATTGTGAGACATTACTTCATTGTACTCTTAGAGTACGGGTTAAAATTTCCTGAAGTTGTAACCATAATCTCTTGTAGTGAGAGCGTGATAGTTGTATATAGATCTATATTAGGATTGACACCCCACACATCGCTGTTAGCTACAGTGGGACCGACAGGTCTACGGGTGGACAATTGTCGTAACATTCCGACGCCTGAAAAACGTCGTAGCAGGACAACATGGTCATAGTATGGTTATAGCGACTCACACAGGGAGTTAATGACACATAAAGTTTACGGGGATTTACAAATCTAAAAGGGTTTTATGTCGATTTAGAACCACTTTTTCATCTATAAGTGTGAACATTACTTGTATATTTGGTCTTGGAATTTGAGACCACATATCACTTTTATAAGGGAAATATCGGATTTTTCTTGGTAACACACAACTCATTTACAAAGAAAGGTTTTCATCCTTACATACCAAAGAGCTTATGCACTCACCAACTTAAATGTTGATACTCTTTCAAAATGACTTGTATTCTCAGGAAATCAATGAAACAAGGTAGCCACAAGCTTTTGAGGATGGAACGCTACGACATTTAACATTATTTTGTCATCATGTTGTAATCGATTTTGAAACATGTAAACACTTGATACCATGTAACTTTTTCGATTATATTTATGATTGGTTGTATTTACTGTGATCACTATTATACTCGTTGCCATGATACTAAACTTGAAGTCCGCCACCCCCGGACGTTTCCGCCATCCTTGGTTTGGGGGTGCGACATATAGTGGGCCCCACCCTGTCATCGGGCCCTGTCCGACATCGAGATGAGCTCGGTAAACGGGCCCCGCCCAACATATAATAACATATATCAAATAACCACATACACATGCAATAATCACATAGATACATAGCATACAAATATTCATCAATCCCCGCCCGACATCAGGCCTTAGCCCGGAAAACATATAAACACAAGCACATGCAAGAGTCACAAAGACAGCTAGCATACTAACAACATAACATAAACATGGGTCAGTATTGGTGCCTTCGACCCGCTAAACCCGTTAAGGAAACTCACCTCGAATACAGAACGATAGTTGAACAGATCCCGGCTCCGAATATCCGCTCTACTCAACCCCTAAATAGAAACGATTTCTTTAAATACAACTCAAAATGCCCAAAAGCCCCTTATAGGTCAAACTTGGTCAAAGACTAAGGTCAAAAGTCAAAGTCAACGGCCCAAGTTGACCCAACACGCCGAGTTGTCCTTTAACTCGCCGTGTTTCTCCATTAATCTGCAAAGTCGGGACGAAACCGATCTAACTCGCCGAGTTCGCCAGAAACCCAACATCTTAATTCATTAAGCTGACATTATCGAAACTAAGAGCTTCATAACTTAGATCTCAAATAAAATGGCAGCTAGAAGGGTAAAGTTTCCAACTTTACTGTGACATCCTGGAATTTAGGGTTGAATCAGCAAAAGGTCAGTTCACCACGAACCTTTTGTATCTTGACCGATGGAAATTTAATGCATATCTTAGTAGAAATATAATGTCATTTCAAATACAGCAAGATAGGAAGAGGTATGTTATCTCGAATTATGGAAAATGTCGAACAAAACGTAAAGCACAAACTATAACTCCAGTCAACGACTGAATAACTAAAATTTTGTATTAAGCATTTGTGAATAAAGAAAATGTTATAGACTCGTAGTACATGTTTCCCTGATCGCAGATATATAAAGAACGTCCAAAACGGAGATCGTATGCGAAAGATATGATCGTTTTAAGAAACATAACCGGTATAACACTTGTTTTACCTGATTTCATAAACCGTTTCGATCCGTTGAGGCATTTACACACTTCAGATAGAAATTCTGAGAGTGTTTTTGGACTCAGACTATGCTCTAATATTTTATATACTATTCAAAATATTTTTAGTAAAAATATTTGTAAAAGTCAGAAAAATCAGACGTTTCAGACCAATTAGACGCAAAACTTTAAACACAAATCCCCGGAGTTCTACAACTCTAAAAATTTATCCGTTCGGGTTTTTTAAAATCTTTGAATTAAATCATTCCACACTATCGTAAAAATTTCCCGACATCATACAAAACAAAAATCTTTTATAAGGCAAATTAATTGCCTAGTGAAATATTACATTTTGTTTTTTGGTAAAGTAATAATAATAATAATAATAATAATAATAATAATAATATAACTAAATGATAAGCCCCCTCTCTCTTACGTCTCTCTCCCCATATATCTCTCTCACATCCTTTTCTGCCTCCCTCTCTCTTTCTTCTAGCTTGGACTTTAGTTGAAAGTCAAAAACCAACTCACCACTCAAATGAAGAAACTGTAAAACTTCTTTCCCTCCTGATCAAAGTAATATACACGAAAATATATAGACTTTGTTTCTACACAATCCTCATCTTTCTTTGACTGATACACCATTAACACCACATCTTCTCCACCCTTAACCATCACACATCACCACCTTTTAACTTCCATTGTCACCACCGGTGTTCTTGAACCACCGTGAAACACCACCATTGGCCACCCGTTGTCAACCAACAGCCCCTAATCCCCTCTTCTGTCCAGATAATCAATCACCACCATAGTAAACACCAACCACCACCTCTTCCCTCTCACTCATTCTCGCGGAAACAGGAGGAGAAATGGAGGCAGCAGGAGGCTGCCACCGCAATCAACCAACTGCCATCACGTCTCCGTTACTATGAAGCACCACCGTCGTTAGCTGCTGCTTCCTTTTGACCCCCTCGTCGAACTCATCCGAGCAGCAAGAAAACGAAAGTTGGAGCTACAGTCGACTGCCACAGCTCACCTGCTGCTGCTGATAAGTTCCGGCCCCCCATATCTCTCCAAATCATCGTTCCCGTCAAACGGAAGCTAAAACCAGGCGGGAAGAGGCCGTCGGAGCTCCGCCACTCACCTACATCCCCGCTCACTGCCACCGTCGCCATTCTCCGACGCCATCTCCGCCGGGATGCCTCCGGTAAGTCATCTCCATCCTCGCCATTTCGTTCCGATGACTCATTGTCGAGCATACAGCCGAGAACTAAGAGACCCAACGAACAGGTCTTGTTCCAGTTCATGTACCTGTAGCGAGAGAAAGAAGACGACACTGTGTAAACTTTTATTCAGTTCGTTTAAAACAGACCCTGAAGATGTATCAGGATACAAATCAGACCCCCCTCTCCCAAACTTGAATTCAAAATAAACATAATGGCCCCTCCCATGTAATTTCCTTACAAACTGAATCCAAACTCCAAAACTGTCATTAAAATAATCAGGAACAGCCCCTTCCCTCGAAAAATCATAGCAAGATGCGTCCAAAACTGTGACTTAGATTGAGAATCTGCACTTTCAGCCCCTGTTTTTGAAATAATTTACGAGATCAGTCCCTTGTCGAAAACTTTTAGTAAGATTAACCCCTAGAATTTATTTGTTATATTAAAAACAACCTTACACTCAATAATTAATACCAAAACTACCCTCCTGGTTATTAGGTAAAATTAAATAGAATCGGTGATTCGTTTTAAGAGCACGGAACGTCACAAAACGACTTTCGCAACAAATTTCACCCTCGATACTCGTTCACGCTTCAAGGGTGAGTACATACGACCCCTTTTTAATATTTTTACGCGTTGGGGGAGAATACATGTGCCATATATATATATATATATATATATATATATATATATATATATATATATATATATATATATATATATATATATATTGATCTTGACAAACACTTACCGAATTCAAAACTAGTTATTAAATATTATTTTGTTAAATAATATTTCATTTACAAATAAACTAGTGATAAATATGTTTTATGCAAATTTGTTACCGTTGTTTTTTTTAAATACAACTAGTACAGATAACAAATGATTTATGCATACAAAATATTATGATTTTATGACAAAATATGTTAAAAAAACTTATGTCATAAAAAGTTATCACCTTTGTAGTATTTCAAGTTCATACTAAACGTACATATACGAGTTATCAAACTCTTATCTTGAAATCATTTATGTACTGTGTACACTACCATGGGATTTACCACTTGTTTGGACGAGCATTACACATTTTTATGGATTTTCTTATCGAGTATAACTGATTTTCATGACAAACTCTAGTTAAGGGCCTTATGAGTGAGTCATTATTCATTACCTTAAGTGCAAACAAACACTTTGAAGACCCACACCACTATAACCGTTAATCATCGGAGCTGAGATACGTATGTATAGATCTATATGGGTTGACACCCCCACCCGTGGTTACTAGCTACAACCTCGACCGACCAATCGAAGCGGGTGATAAATATCTAAAACAATTTTACGACGTCCAATGAAGCGTCGTAGGGGTAGGTACAGTCACATAGCTCGGTTATAGGACTCACTATAAGCATTAACTAGATTTCATAATCTGGAAACCACGGATCCGGTTTCTCTGATTATCAAACATTTTGAGTATAGATTTACTCACGGTATTCTGAGTACCAAACATTTTGAGTATGGATTTACTCACGGTTCTCTGAGTACCAAACATTTTGAGTATGTATTTACTCACAGTTCCCTAAGTACCAAACATTTTGAGTATGGATTTACTCACGGTTTCTCTGATTACTATACATTTTGGGCATGGATTTACTCATTATTTCTCTATTATCAAACATTCTAAGTATGAACTTTACTCACGATTTCTCTGTCTATGAAATACTTTAAGTATGAATTTACTTATAAATTTCTCTTTTATCAAACATTTTCAAACATGGTTTAAACTATATATGGAATACTTTTTAGTCTTTTAAAGTATCATTACTGCGGTTAGTAGAAAACCTGTGAACTCTCACCAACCTTGTTTTGACCCTCAAAACTACATGTATTCTTAGGATATCACCAAGCGAGCTTCCAGTCAGAAGATTAGTCATGGATTTCAAGCGACCTAGTTTTATTTAGCTTTTGTTATGTCAGCCTATATGATAAGGCAAATTTATGAGTTTATCATTATTATGAACCTTGTATTCAAACCTTAAAGTGTAATGTAACTGCTATGTTGTGATTGTTGTAACTTGTGATGTATATTCAATTTGCTTGTGATCCATAAACTAAGTCGCACAGCCCGACGTATTCCGCCGCCTCGGCCGGGGGTGTGACATTTACCACTAAGAACCACCAAAATGGGTTTAAAACCCAAATCCTAGGCTTAAAAGGGTGAGGGCTTAATCATTAAGCACTTAATCACTAAAGGCATAACCCCAAACTGCAGATCTGACCCTTAAAGCTGAATGGCCATGTAAAGTTTCCAACTTTACGCTCATGCATGACTAGGAGAGGTTCAAATGCTCATAAGAGGCAAAAAGAAGGACTTAATGAATGCATTAAGCCCTTAAGACCATAAAGTTGGCATCTTTATGCCAAAAGAGCTCATTTAGATCTTAGATCTGAAAGAATAAACACTTGAGACGTCCTACTCCCCCATCAACCATCCATCCATGGCTAAAAGCATACAATCTAACCCAAGAAGAGATCTAAGCAACTATTAAGCAAGGTGAGAACTTGATACCTCAAAAACTTAGCAATTAAGCTAGTGATTCTGGATCCAAGACTTCTTCTTCAAGCCAAGCAACTCTTAATTCCTTAGCTCCTTCAACATGCACCAAAAATGAACACTCAAGGCTCTCCCCCAAGCTCACACACTCAACAATGGAAGGTAAAGCTCGATTTTAGGGTTTCTGGACAGAGGAGGCTGGTAAGGACACCAGCCAAGGGACTTAAGACCTTTAAATAAGGTGCAACACCCTAAAAATTAGGGTTTCCTTCCCAGCTGCCAACTCGTCGAGTTGAGGCACCTTGACTCGCCGAGTTGACTCATTAAATTTTGCGGCCAAAAACAACTCGACACGCCGTGCTGAGGCTTCCAACACGCCGAGTCCTCCAAGAAAATTATAAATAATTAGAAAAAATAATTTCATACCGGAAACCAGGCGTTCCACCTTCCCCTATATCCGTTCTTCTTCCCCTTCACTGAAATCATCTCGTTTCTCTTTCTACTAAACGAGTTTTCTTCCTCTCTCAATAAAAAAAAACCCTAAGATCATTCACTACTCATGACCATTGTTTACCCCTGCCACCACTAAACCAGCAACGTACAAACGGACCACTCAGCTGTGCACACCACCAACGGAAGCCAAATCCAGTGCTTGATTTGAAAGAGTTTTTTTTTATTCAAAGAGAGTTTTTAGTAGTTTGATTAAGCCTCAACATCTAATACATGTATGTACAATGAAGGGTTAATATGGACAAAAGGGGCCAAAAAGCGAGCCTCTAACCACCTGAAACAGCTATATAGCTTCCTGGAAAAACCGGTTCTAAACCAGTCCCAACGGTAGTATGTTCAAATCGATGGAAACCGTCGGTTGGGTCCTAAACCAGATCGGTTAACAATGGATCAGTTCATGGTGAACCGCATGAACTGATTTTCGTTCATGGAGGCGGTTCGGTTCCCGAGACCTGTTTTTTGTGCACGTATAGGTGAGACCCAAGTAATTAACTAATTATCTTAATAATATAGGTACTTAAAAAAATAAAATAAACAAAGCAAAAAAAATAGCAAAGGTGGTATGGTCTTTTTATGAGATTGTCGTATTAGAGGTAATATTCAAATTAAAAACCTAATTTTCATTTTTAGACATATAACAAAAAAAAAAACATAATTTTTCTTTTTGGAAAGGGATTCAAAACTTAAGGGTATATTTAAAAAATCGAAGGGTAAGATAATTTTCATTTTTTTATTACACTCTCCCTCTATATTGCTTCTTGTAGGCGCGGACAAACACGCACAAATCCCCTCTTGCTTCCTTACTCGAGACACACACATGACACACACAAAAACCCTCTCTTGCTCTCTCCCCCTCTCTTTCCGTCGTTAAGCAATGACGTCTGTAATTGAAAACGAAGATTTACAAGACGCTCTTGATGGTTTGATTTTACATTTTTTTGATTTCATTTTTAAGATTACCTATATCTCATGTAATGTAGCTACTATTTGATATGTTTGAATATGCAAAAAAAAAAAAAAAAAGTTCATTCCTTTTTGCTAAAATTTTTACTTTCCAGCTAAAATTTTTGTCGGACGTTACAAAACATCGTTTTTGCTGTAATAACCTAACATGACAATATAATGCAGGCATGGGGATCCACGAGGTTAGTATAGTGAACACTTTCGGGAATTTGAGTAAAGATGTCATGCAAAATGTCTTTGGTGATTCTGTTGGGGTGGAAGATTTCAAAGGCCTTTTGCCGATTTTCAACTATGACCATGATCATAAATTGGAGGGCCGATTTCTGGTGTTTAAAGTGAGTTGTTCTTGACTTTTTTTTTTTTTTTTTTTTTAAACTTGTATCAAACAATTTTTTTAGAATCCTAGGTTTTTACAATTCCCCAACCTGAGGAGTAATGGTAATTTCATATTTTCTCTTTATAATCATCTAGGTGTGAGACCTTTTATTAAAATAAAGTTTAATATCAATATGTAAAAATTAAATTTTTTGAAAATAATAATTTTACATAAAATTGTTGTATGAGTGAATAATTTATCGACCTCTGGCCTTAATTTCAGAATAGGCTAGGTAATGTAACACATTGGTAACCCAATCTTCTGATATAAATCAAATTCGGACAATTCATGATTTAAAATCCCACCCTATACCAAAAATACCCTTTACTTTTATTACTTCTCCCAATAATCAGTTTTTTTTTCACCCAAAACTCAAAAGTAAACCTAACCGCCTCTCAAGGATCCTCTTTCCTTCTACTTTTATTAGTCAAACCCCATGACCAAAATGCCCTTTCCTCTTATTCTTGCACCATCTTTTGATCCTAAAAAAAACAAAATCACAATTATTCCAGAAATGATCAATGTACCCTTTATTCTTAAACAAAGAATCCAGTTCTTAACTGTATTGGGATAAAACAATTTACAAATAACAGTTAGTAAATGGAAGCAGGTTAATTTTTTACCACTCCATTAAAAAGAAGAAAATCCAAAGTTACTATCTTATAGCATCATACTATTTCATGCAAA